AGTCTCAATAACTTTCTTGTTTCCTGTCATAATCCTTTGAAATTTTGAACGTAGTCCTACATTATGAAGATCTACCGCATGATATATAAGAATTTTCATGAAAGCATGCGCATGTGCGCGTGCTGCAAGCTGATTGGCTGAAACTTTAAATGGCAATATCTCCTTTGTTTTTTGACGAAATTTTTTGAAATTTAAAATATAGTCATGCATTAGGATATCCTACAAAATGATATAGAAAAAAAATCATGAAATCACGCGCATGCACCTGTGCTGCAATCTGATTGGCTGAAAATTTAATTGGCTATTTCTCCTTTGTTTTTGGACGAAATTCTTTGAAATTTAAAATATAGTCATGCACTAGGATATCCTACAAAATGATATAAAAAAAATCATGAAATTACACGCATGCACGTGTGCTGCAATCTGATTGGCTGAAACTTTAAATGGCTATAACTCCCTTGTTTTTCAACCAAACAGGAAGGGATTTAGAACATAGATAGATGTAAGGGACTCCTACAAGAAGGTATGATCATCATGCACGTGCACACACGTGCGTGCATTTGAAACGAGTATATTTAAAAATACTCTTGAATGAGTGATTTTTATTACTTTTGGACTGAATGCTTTAATATATAGTATATTAGAATATATAAATAGTGTAGACAAGATGATAGTCATAACGCACATGCATTCACATGCGCTTGGGTGCAATGCTAAAAATTGAATATAACTGGTATCCTTCTGGGAAAACGTTGTTAAAGTCAAAAATGCACAGAGTTTGTCTTATTTAATGAAGCTTACAGGGAATATGGCACTGAAAGGGAGTTGGGGAGTGTTTGGGGAACATCTGTAACGGTTCCCGTTACAATTAGCACTAGTTAAATACACATTTTGTTGGAGTGTACTTTCTCCACTGAAGTTAACAGTAGTAATGTGTGTTCATTTATGTTTTTATACCCCCTGCAAATGAAGTTTTGGGGGGTATATAGGAATCACCTTGTCCGTCTGTCCATCTGTCCCTCCGTCCGTCTGTCTGTGCAATCGTGTCCGGTCCATATCTTTCTTACAGAGGGACATTAGAATCTACTACTCCACACAAAAATTGCCCATGACCTAAGGGTGTGTGATGACCTTGATCCAAGGTCATTTGGGGAAGTTCAAGGTCACTGGAAGAAAAATTTCATAATTCGTGTCCGGTCCATATCTTTCTTATGGATAAACTTGGTAGGCTCTCATTTCACACAAAGATTGCCCATGGCCCAAGGGTGTGTCATGACCTTGACCCAAGGTCACTTGGGGAAGTTCAAGGTCACTGGAAGAAAAATTTCATAATTCGTGTCCGGTCCATATCTTTCTTATGGATAAACTTGGTAGGCTCTCATTTCATACAAAGATTGCCCATGGTCCAAGGGTGTGTCATGACCTTCACCGAAGGTCATTTGGGGAAGTTCAAGGTCACTGGAAGAAAAATTTCATAATTCGTGTCCGGTCCATATCTTTCTTATGGATAAACTTGGTAGGCTCTCATTTTACACAAAGATTGCCCATGGCCCAAGGATGGGTCATGACCTTGACTCAATGTCATTAGGGGAAGTTCAAGGTCACTGGAAGAAAAATTTCATAATTCGTGTCCTGTCCATATCTTTCTTATGGATGAACTTGGTAGGTTCTTCTTTCACACAAAGATTGCCCATGGCCCAAGGGTATGTCATGACCTTGATCCAAGGTCATTTGGGGAAGTTCAAGGTCACTGGAAGAAAAATTTCATAATTCGTGTCCTGTCCATATCTTTCTTATGGATAAACTTGGTAGGTTCTCATTTCACACAAAGATTGCCCATGATCCAAGGGTGTGTCATGACCTTGACCCAAGGTCACTTGGGGAAGTTCAAGGTCACTGGAAGAAAAATTTCATAATTCATGTTTGATACATATCTTTATAAGGAAAAACTTACTTCTGAAAAACCCAGCGGGGGGTATTTTGTCACGTTTGGACAGTTCTAGTTTTTTCTGAAAGAGGGAGGGGGGTAGTGCCACTATCATTTATTGAAAATGAAGTATAAGTAAATTCAATATTTCAGCCTTTTTGGAAAGAAAAATCGAAGATTATGCACTGGTTTCTTATTTATTATGTACATATAATACATGTATATAGATCATGCATCTGGAGACCATGACTTGTCAAACTGTGTTGTTTATTATTATTGGACTAGTCCATTTATGGAATAAACCAACTGCGAGATTGTGGGAAACAGATTAGAAAAATCATTTCTTTGAGTGTTGCATGTGTGTATACTGATATATACGATATTTTGTTTGAAAGAATTAGATAAAACTTGTGAATAGAATTTCTGCAGCACTGGAAGGAGGTTAAAAGGACAAATTAACTTGTTTAATTCCACGAAAGTTAGCACACCCATTCATACAATAGAACAATCCAAGGAAAAGGCACGGAGATAGCTGACTAGTGACATTTGGCGTGAAAGAGCGATTCACCCCTTTCCTAGAACATAAATGGACTGATCCAGTAGTATAGAAATGCAGAAAAAAGGATACATTGACATGTTGGAACACTGAATCACATGGAATAATCTGTTTCTGTGCAAAAAGAGTAATGGAAGTAAACACTGCAGCATTTTGCATCAGTAATATCATTCTTTTTCTGAAAGCTGTTTCTTCTGAAATGAAGGTAAAGAATTCCAATGTAAATCAGCTTGCACAAAACCTGGCCTTCTAGGTATGATCGCATAGTTTCTGATCATGCAAATATTAATCCTTATACAACCTGACGCCGTGACATCAGGCAATCAAAAACCTATACATAATTATCCTCGGTTCATGAAAAAAAGAGAAGGAAAGAACACAAATTATGCACTTCCCATGCATCAGGATCGAGATTCCGAACTTCTCGGAAGTTTCCGACAAAATCAGAAATACTCGAGCCATTTAAGTGGCGAAAGTATGATGTGAAATGGAAAGTCCTATTGACTCACTGAAATTACATTAAATCATATTTTCTAATTTTTTCAAGTAAGTTGTTGCTATGTTTAAACCACTAGGGATGGGACGATACACACATCTTGTGATACGATACGTATCTCGATATATTGGCACGATACGATACGTATCTCGATATTATGATAAATTAGAAAACTATTCCAAAGAATAAGTTGTTTTTTTTTGTTTTTTTTTTGTCTTGACATTAAATCAACAAATTATTCTATATCAAATCATGTTAACTTTGCTTTGAAATTAATACTTGAAGTTCTTCAATTTCATTGACTAAAACTTTACAAAACAATAATACACGTACATACTATTATTACTATTCAGAATTTGTTTACAAATAGTTGTGTAGTTCATCAGAGAACACTGACTAAAAATTCATTGAAAAACATCTATCATGTTTACATTATTATTAATTCATTGCTGAAAGTGTGTCGCCAAGTTGAGATTACAAAAAAAAGAACGAGGTGGACTAACAATTTATAATATCAAATGTTCTGGAAACGATATTTTTTGTGTATAGAACGCATTTCGTACTGAACTTTTCTTGTCCAATCTCCCGAGCCTGCTTAAAAGTGAAAACGTTTTACCCCTTATTAGTTCTAAAGTGTGTTTTCAATATCAAAATAATCTCTTCGCTTCGTACAAGCCGCCATTTTCCAAGGACAGGTACTTTCATTTTCAATTTTTGGATAGGTCGTTCGTGTATCGTTTCGTACAGATATTTGAATGCTTGTATCGTAAACCGTATCTTGGAGGAAAATATCGGTAGGTATCGGTGTATCGGTATATCGTCCCACCCCTATAAACCACCATGTTGCTATGCACCACAACGGATTATTGGGAGTTTTGGAATTTTTTCACGAGGACTGATAAAAATTCCTTGGAACACTGATAAAGCTACCATTTATTTCTGAATCAATGCTTCAGAAAATAAATACAAATTCAATCATGGATTTACCAAAGAGAACACTTGATGTGTAGATTTATATTGGTATGACATCATATCAATTCAAAATAAATGCATTGAAACAACATTTATTTAAGGCTTCGCCCGTTATGCTTAAATTATCCCATGTTTCCCACTATTGTTGATGTCCCTGACATACCCTCCTAACTAGACAGTGATTCCTTATATTTCCATTTCATTGCGAAATAAAATTGTAGATTTAGACTTTAAAAATGTAGAGACAAATTTAAATTACATGAGGACTCCCATGTCGATTTCAATAGTCCTCGCCCACTGATGTCAGACACAAAAGAAGCCGCACGAGATTTACATGCATATTTGGCCTCCTTAGCCTCAAGAACAGAGACAGATGCGCACGAGATTTGTATGCTTATTAGGCCTTCTTAGCTCCTGACCTATCGACCTGCCTAATTTACATTCCGGTAGAATTATCAAGAAATCAACTCCGCTAACTTTCAAAGGGTTATCACAGAGAAAAAAATTAGAAATGGAATATCAAATTTCAATCATTCCAAAATCAATGGTTTGAAGATTTTTTAATTGTATTCAATCAAAAATAAATGCATAACCAATGTTCAATGTATTTTCAAGACAAATAAAATCAACAATCAATGCAAATATAGCATTTGTTTTTGCTAAGGGAATGTAATAGTCGTGTGTGTAAATGTTATAAAGACTTGACATATAATGTAATGGAAAGTTGACCCAATGCAATGGTAGTGTCAGTAAATGTCACAAAGTGTTGGCACAATGCTGTTGTAGTGTTCTGCTATAAGGCAGTGACGGCATTCCATATGATTCAATTTTCAAACCTTTACATGTAGAAGTGAATTTTTTTTTTAAATACCCAGATTTTTGTGTAGCATGGGTAGCTAGTTTGTCAACCAATCATGATCAAATGATGATGTTTTAAATTAGCGATTTTTACTTGACTGACAGGCAATATCACATCAATCTCTTAACATGTAGTATGTATTGTAGATTTAACATAAGGTTTGGGCTTTAAAATCTTTCTTCTTTTTCAGAGATGAGTATGACTTCCTTCCAGTTCCAGAACCCAAACACAACAGGAGTCCCCTAGTTTTACAGGAACACAAGTTAGGGATGGAATCATGGAGTATCAAGATTCTTTTTCAGTATGCTTATTATCGACTCATTTCTTGGAGGAAAAACTCACCACAAACAAAATTTATAGGTATGTCAAATGCTTTAAGTCAATTGAAAAAAAAAAAAATATATTAATTTTTACAAATGTAAAATTCAGTTTACTTCATGGCAAGTCTCTGTCTGTCTGTAAATCACTTACTATTTTTGAGAACTTTATTTTTGCATAATTATGCAAGACTGTCTGCTCACAAAAATTTCTCACATACACTGGTATTTTTGTACCTTAGAGTAGGACATATACAGCAGTAAAATGCATTCATGACGGTTTCGTCACCCCTTTTAAAAAAAATAAAAAACATATTGCACAAAAAAATGTCCAAAAACTTGATAATCTATAGTAATTATATAGTGTTGTCTAGGGTGCAACTGACAGCAGTTATGTTTTACAGACTGAAAAATTGACCAGACTTTGAGCCATTTGAAAATAACCCCTGAAAGGAGAAGTGTGCTTCAAGACTCTATGATATATTCTAGATATTCCAACCCCCAATTTTCCTAAGTCCAAAATGGCTTGATCGTATGCAAAATAAAACTTGATAATTCTGTATACCAAATTTTATTTCAGTATGTGCAATCTGTGAAGAAAATGAATGGAAACTGATGGTGAACTGACAGACAGACCGACTGACAGACAAACAGCAGCAAAGCAATAGGCCCTCCCTTCTTCGAAGAGGGGCAGAAAAATCTTCTGATTAACAACCAGATCACCACCCATTATATTATGATATTATATAATAATAATATATTTATTATTATATTATAATAAGTGGTAGATTCAAATTTTAAGAAAAAACAAGATGTGTTTGTGAAACACTATGCGCCCGGCTGCAACAAAGTTCGGAAAAAGCTATTTTTAGCATTAAGGTCACAGTCAAGGCACAAGGTCATTGACCTTGGTGTCATTTGAAAAAGTTTGATTAGTGGAGTACGCTTACTAAATATGAAATTTCAATCTCATGGTTCAAAAGTTATAGTGAGGGTTCAAAAAAGCTATTTTTAGCATATATGTCACAGTGAAGGTCGCAAGGTCTTTGACCTTGGTGTCATTTGAAAGAACCTGATTAGTAGAGTATGCATACTAAATATGAAGTCTCGATCTTTCATGGTTCAAAAGTTATGGCAAAGGTTAAAGTTTGCAGAAAAAAGCTATTTTTAGCATATAGGCCACAGTTAAGGTCACAATGTCATTGACCTTGGTGTCTTTTGAAAGACCTTAATTAGTGGAGTATGCATACCAAATATGAAGTCTTTATCTTTCATGGTTCAAAAGTTATGGTGAAGGTTAAAGTTCGAGACAAACAAACAGACAGACAGACAGACAGACAGGACAAAAACAATATACGCCCTGGATCTATCGATCTGGGTGCATAAAAATCAACATTTGTTTTAAGAATTGCAAAATATGCTGAAAAAAAACAACAGGACTAAGGTAAATCAGATGAGTGTTGTGGCCTTTGAGTCTTTGAAACCCTAAAAAAATCAGTATTAAGGAAAATGGTTGAATTCAAACTTGAACTGGAAAGGCTTTAATTGCTCCTCTTCAGTTACAGTAATTGGTCACAAATCCTACAATATTGACACTTTCCATTTTAAAGACAATTTATATTTGTTTACGAAATTAAGTTACCAACAATTAACAGTGTTTTCTGATTGGTTCCAGTCCTAGACTAATAACAAATGAAAAAGTAGCTTTAATTTCTAGCCCTGCTTTCAAAAATAGACTTATGTCAAGGGTTTGTGTGGAGTTCCAAAATCACAAAACCTTGACTTTGTGAGGATGTATATTGTAATAAATAGTAGTGACACAAACCTAACTGTTGGTGTTTGCTAACCAAAAAATAGTTTTTATCACAGAAAATTAAATATGGCCTGAAAAAATGAGATTAGCCAGACAAAATGACTCACAAACTATGTGTCGGTAGTTCAAGGTAGTGCATACATCATACAACCTTAGCTTATCATACACTACACAACCTTAGCTTATTATACACTACACAACATTAGGTAATCATACACTACATAACCTTAGCTAATCATAAACTACACAACCATAGCTTATCATATACTACACAACCTTAAGTTAGCTAATTATACACTACACAACCTAATCATACACCACACAACCTTAGCTCATCATAAACTACACAACCTTAGCTAATCATACACTATACATCCTTAGCTAATTATACACTACACAACCTTAGCTATTATACACTACACAACCTTAGCTAATCATCATCTAAGATGTGTACTGTATTTTATAAAGGTGCATACACTTCACAACCTTAGCTAATCATCTAAGATGTGTACTATTTCTTTATAGAGGTGCATACACTACTATACATTTATTGACTGAGTTCTAAGGCAACGTGTTTTGTCGGACCCAAGAACTAAACTGTCTGCCTGAGGCCATTAGGGATTGAACGTGCGACAATACGATTGGATGTGCGGTGCTCGTGCGCTCATGCATTCCATAGTACGAATGTTCGTGCGAGTCAGAGGGCCGGGTATATATACCACCCGTTTCCAACGCTCTTCAGTTGACATAGTTAAGGTGCTTATAATTATACATGGTATATATACCTGTTGCAAAAAATGGCAATTGAAGGTGATAAATCAAACAATGATAGTAAAACGTTGCAAGATTATATGAGACATGTTGAGCAACAGTCTCATGGTCGCAAAACACATGCAAAGACAGCTGCGATTCATCTTACGATCTTTAAAAATCATACATCACTCTTACGAGTACATAAAATGTTGTAAGACGTTCGCATAACTTTCGTTGCGTTGAATTGTGATAATTTGGATGGCATTTGGTCGCATCTGAATAGTGTGCATGTTGGCTATTTTGAAGAGACTTGATGCGACCACTAAAACACATGCAATGAATGCGAGACATCGTGCAACGTATGCGAGAGCTCATGTGAAGCTAAAATTTTCTGATCGCAAAGTGTTGTAAAGTGCTCGTGCGCCAATTGTGAAAGGGCCTTAAGCTGTCCAACATCTCATTGACAGAACTATCATCGCATTCAGCTGTCAAACATCGATTTTTTATGCCCGCTCAGTAAAACATTAGAAATGTTATACACTGTACTTTTTAGCTCACCTGAGCCAAAGGCTCAAGTGAGCTTTTCTGATCAAAATTTGTCCGTTGTCTGTTGTTGTCGTCGCTGTCGTCGTTGTAAACTTTTCACATTTTCATCTTCTTCTCAAGAACCACTGGGCCAATTTCAGCCAAACTTGCTACAAAATATCTTTGGGTAAAGTGGATTCAAGTTTGTTCAAATGAAGGGCCACTCCCTTTTCGAAGGGGAGATAATTATGAATTAGAGAAAAATTAATGGCATTTTTAAAAAAATCTTCTTCTCAAGAACCGCTGGGCCAGGAAAAATGAAACTCATGTGGAATCATCCTCAGGTATTGTAGATTCAAATTTGTTCAAACCATGATCCCCAGGGGGAGGGTGGGGCCAAAATGGCCGATCAAAGTTTTACTTAGGAATACATGTATATAGGAAAAAATCTTTAAAAATCTTCTTCTCAAGAACCATTGAGATAGAAAAGATAAAACTCATGTGAAATCATCCTCAGGTAGTGTAGATTCAAGTTTGTTCAAATCATGACCCAGGGGCTAGTGTGGGGCCATAATGGCCATTAAAAGTTTTACATAGGAATATATAGGAAAAATCTTTAAAAATCTTCTTCTCAAGAACCACTGGGCCAGGAAAGATGAAACTCCTGTGGAATCATCCTCAGGTAGTGTAGATTCAAGTTTGTTCAAATCATAACCCCCGGGGGTAAGGTGGGGCCAAAATGAACGATCAAAGTTTAACATAGGAATATACAGGGAAAATCTTTGAAAATCTTCTTCTCAAGAACCATTGAGACAGGAAAGATGAAACTCATGTGAAATCATCCTCAGGTAGTGTAGATTCAAGTTTGTTCAAATCATGACCCCTGGGACTAGGGTGGGACAATAATGGCGTTAAAAGTTTTACATAGAAACATATAGGAAAAATCTTCTTCTCAAGAACCACTGGGCCAGGAAAGATGAAACTCTTGTGGAATCATCGTCAGGTAGTGTAGATTCATATTTGTTCAAATCATGACCCCCGGGGCTAGGGTGGGGCCAAAATGGCCGACCAAATTTTTATATAGGAATATATAAGGAAACCTTTTAATATCTTCTTTTCAAGTACTTCAAAGCCATGATTAGTGATATTTACCAGGTATATGGAATCATTGTCAGGTAGTGTAGATTCTAGTTTGTTCAAATCATGACCCCCTGGGAGGTTAAAATTCAAGCCCCCCCCCCCCCAGCTAAGTAAACTTTCAGTTCTGATCTGATATGTGCTTTTTAGCTCACCTGAGCTGAAGGCTCAAGTGAGCTTTTCTGATCACATTTTGTCCGGCGTCCGTCTAGCTGTCTGTCCTGTCTGTCTGTCTGTAAACTTTTCACATTTTCGACTTCTTCTCAAGAACTGCTGGGCCAATTTCAACCAAACTTGCCACAAAGCATCCTTGAGTGAAGTTTGTTCAAATGAAGGGCCACGCCCTCATTCAAGGGGAGATAATTCGGAAATAATGAAAATTTGGTGGTATGTTTTAAAAATCTTCTTCTCAAGAACCACTGTGCCAGGAAAGAGGAAACTTATGGGAAAACATCCTCAGGTAGTGTAGATTCAAGTTTGTTCAAATCATGACCCCAGGGGGTAGGGCGGGGCCACAATGGCCGACCATAGTTTTACATAGACATATATAGGAAAATTCTTTAAAAATCTTCTTCTCAAGAATAGCAGAGCCAGAATTGATCATATTTATATGGAAGCATCCTCAGGTAGTGTAGATTCAAGTTTGTTCAAATCATGACCCCCGGGGGTAGGGCGGGGCCACAATGGCCGACCAAAGTTTTACATAGAAATATATAGGAAAATTCTTTAAAAATCTTCTTCTCAAGAATAGCAGAGCCAGAATTGATCATATTTATATGGAAGCATCCTCAGGTAGTGTAGATTCAAGTTTGTTCAAATCATGACCCCCGGGGGTAGGGCGGGGCCACAATGGCCGACCAAAGTTTTTCATAGAAATATATAGGAAAATTCTTTAAAAATCTTCTTCTCAAGAATAGCAAAGCCAGAATTGATCATATTTATATGGAAGCATCCTCAGGTAGTGTAGATTCAAGTTTGTTCAAATCATGACCCCCGGGGGTAGGGCGGGGCCACAATGGCCGACGAAAGTTTTACATAGAAATATATAGGAAAATTCTTTAAAAATCTTCTTCTCAAGAATAACAAAGCCAGAAGTGATCATATCTATATGGAAGCATCTTCAGGTAGTGTAGATTTAAGTTTGTTCAAATCATGACCCCAGGGGGTAGGGCGGGGCCACAATGGCCAACCAAAGTTTTACATAGACATATATAGGAAAATTCTTTAAAAATCTTCTCAAGAATAGCAAAGCCAGAATTGATCATATTTATATGGAAGCATCTTCAGGTAGTGTAGATTCAAGTTTGTTCAAATCATGACCCAGGGGGTAGGGCGGGGCCACAATGGCCGACCAAAGTTTTACATAGACATATACAGGAAAATTCTTTAAAAATCTTCTTCTCAAGAATAACAAAGCCATACCGTAAATCTGGAAATTTTTACTGTAGATAAATTTTTAGCAAATTTGCGTGTACATTGCATTCGCAAATATATTTTTCTTAAAAATAAATCAACATGTGAAGAACTTTTTTCTGAGAACTCGTGTTGTTTTTTAACTCGGTGAATATGCGTCGGTAAGCACTGGTCATTTTTAAAAGAAACCTGTTTACACTAGTCTACTATATAACTACAAGTTAATTACCCGTGCGTGTAAATTGCCCTCATTATATGCAATATCGTCCGATGATTTGACAAGCACTGAGGCGGTATGCCCGTTTTTAATTATTTATTATTAGTTATACCAGTATTTTTCCTTCATTTGGATTATACTTGAGGTTAAAAGGCATACACAACCTCTAAAATGTTTGTTATAATTGATTAAGAAATTGTTTTCAGTGCAAATCCTTTTGTATTTTTATCAAAATTGTTTCGGAGCGATTTTGCAATATCTTGCCACGTTGCGAGTATATTGGTGGTATTCTAATTAGGCATATTATTTGAAACATAACCTGATATGAAAATCTTCAGTGATTTGTATTTTTAGCACCAGTGACAATTCGCAAAAATTTGAAGCGTAAAATTAATCAACAGCTTTTTGAACCAAATTCGCAGAAATAAATCGACGTAAAAATTTCCAGATTTACGGTGATTGATCATATTTATATGGAAGCATCGTCAGGTAGTGTAGATTCAAGTTTGTTCAAATCATGACCCCAGGGGTAGGGCGGGGCCACAATGGCCGACCAAAGTTTTACAAAGACATATACAGGAAAATTCTTTAAAATCCTCTTCTCTAGAATAGCAAAGCCATGATTGGTCATGGGACTACTTTTGGAATTAAATTTTTTAATAATAAACCAATTTCTACTTTTTTTCCTAGCCATAGTGCTCAGGTGAGCAATGTGGCCCATGGACCTCTTGTTCTTAGCCGATGTTCTCAGGTGAGCGCTGTGGCCCCTGGGCCTCTTGTTTCGTATAGATATGTATAGGAACAAATTAAAGGTATAACAAAAAGTCTTAGCTAATCATTTAAGATGTGTACTATATTTTTACAGATCCAAGTGAACTATGCAGTATAACCAGAGCCATATTGTTAGTAAATGCTGATTGTGCTACAGCTTGGAACACTAGGTATTTTATGTGTAACTAGCTATGGTTAAAGGTCATAGGAAACGATTCCTAACACCATAATTTCACTTTTTATACCCCCCGCAAACGAAGTTTGGGGGGGTATATAGCAATCACCTTGTCCGTCTGTCTGTCCGTCCGTCTGTCTGTGCAACCGGTCCATATCTTTCTTACGGAGGAACATTAGAATCTACTACTCCACACAAAGATTGCCTTTGGCCCAAGGGTGTGTCTTGACCTTGACCGAAGGACATTTGGGGAAGTTCAAGGTCACTGGAAGATAAATTTCATAATTCATGTCCGGTCCATATGTTTCTTATGGATAAACTTGGTAGGTTCTCATTTCACACAAAGATTGCCCATGACCTAAGGGTGTGTTGTGACCTTGACCCAAGGTCATTTGGGGAAGTTCAAGGTCACTGGAAGAAAAATTTCATAATTTGTGTCCGGTCCATATCTTTCTTATGGATAAACTTGATAGGTTCTCATTTCACACAAAGATTGCCCATGACCTAAGGGTGTGTCATGACCTTGACCCAAGGTCATCTGTGCAAGTTCAAGGTCACTGAAAGAAAAATTGTATGATTCCTGTTTGATGCATATCTTTATTATTGAAAAACTTACCTCTGAAAAACCCAGCGGGGGTTATTTTGTCCCATTTTGACAGTTCTAGTTAAACCCAAAGCTACATATGAAAGAATACATGTAGCTATATTTTCTGGCCTTAATGTTCTGCTGTGAAATAAAGATAAAAAGTATTCCACTTGTTACTTTTCTTACCAGCTTATCGTTCTTGATTTTTATGCCCCACCATGAATATGGCCGAGGCATATAGTGTTTATCATGTCCAGCTCATGTAATAGTAAATGATTCAATGTAATTAACTAAGAATTTAGATAATTCTGTTTCCAAACCAATTTCTTTTTTGCTCTTTGTCAGTTTATGGTATAATGTACACATTTTTCAATTTTCATTAGGTAAAATTTGAAGCTATTCTTTACAATTTTCGTCATGTTTCCCTACTTTCGGTTAAAAAAAAACGATCTACATAGATCCAGATTTTGTTTATAAAAATCTTTTATTTACTAACTTCATCTCCTAATAACACTTTATCCCCCCTTGTTAGTCCAAATTATATTATTTCAAGCAACTTTGTAACCCTTTAGTTACCTAGTCAGCCGTGTTCGTTCAAGCGAGACATGATTTCCTACATGTAGGTTTCAGTTTTCACACCTCTGCTGCATTAAATAAACATAGGGACTTATCTGTATACATAAAATAAACAAAGGAGTTAACCAGGACTACACAAATTTGTACATGGTACATCTAAAAAATTCATTTTCGCCAATTATGAATTTCTTTTCACCACTTTTGAAAAAAATTCGCAATTGGCGACAATGGCGAATCACAGCTCGAGCCCTGGCTCAGTTCAAAGCTCAGTTTCAAAGAAACTATCCAAGATGTTTTCATCAAACATCATAGGATGATAGATGTTGATGAGAGCTATGCAACTGCATCAACTTTTTTTAACCTTGACCTTTCCTTTGACTTTGACCTCACTTTTCTTGAATGAGTGTTTAGCTTAGTTTTAAATATATCATTCAAGATAGTGTTACCAAACTTCATATGCTGATACATACTGTTGAAAGCTATTCAACTGCATCAAAATTTTTGACCTTGACCTTACCTTTGACCTTGACCTCACTTTTCTTAAATGAGTGTTTAGCTCAGTTTTAAAGATACCATTCAAGATAGTGTTACCAACTTTATATGCTGATACATACTGATTAGAGCTATTCAACTGCATCAACATTTTTGACCTTGACCTTTTCTTTGACCTTTGACCTCACTTTTCCTGAATCAATGTCAAACTTCTTATGCTGATACACACTGATGCAAGCAATTCAACTGCATCAACAATTTTGACCTTGACCTTTTATTTGACCTTGACCTCACTTTTATCAAATTGTGTTTGTCAGTTTTAATTAAAGACATCATTTCTAGATATTTTTATCGAAATTCATATGTTGATACATATTGATGAGAGATATGCAACTGCATCAACATTTTTGACTTTGACATTTCCTTAGACCTTCAACTCACTTTTCCTAAATCAGTGTCAAACTTCATATGCTGATACATACTGATGTAAGCAATTCAACTGCATCAACAATTGTGACCTTGACCTTTTATTTGACCTCAACCTCAACTTTTATCAAATTTTGTTTTAAAGTCAGCAATTCAACTGCATCACTATTCAAGATATTCTGATCAAATCTTATACACTTATACAAATTTTCATGTTGCTTTACTAATATACCCTCGGAGGGGCATTCATGTCCTATGGACATTTTTCTAGTTTGACCTTGACCTTTCCTTTGACCTTTGACCTCTCTTTTCTTAAATGAGTGTTAAGCTCAGTTTTAAAGATACCATCCAATATATTTTTTATCAAACTTCATATGTTGATACATACTGATACCGACAGAGTGAGAGACAGGAGGTGGGGTAGAGTGTCTGTACATGAATAATTGAATATAAATAAACGTCAATAATTAGAATTAAATTAATTGAATAGAACATTAACACAATAAAAATTTCATGTTTAACTTCACATTTAAAAAAAAACAACAACATAAAAGCCACAGGCCTTACCTATGATCATACAGGTAGCACATTCAGTAGGTCTATATTGTCCAGAAAAATTGAATCATTGACCACGTTGGACTCTTGATGATACAGTCCCTTAAACGTTCTACTTTCCCATTTTTCAGTTCGCTCACCGTTCGTTCACCCTTCGTTCAGCATGCATTCACCGTTCATTCTCCGTTCGCTCTCCGTTCACAGTTTTGTGTTCACCGTGCGCTCGCGTTCACCGTTCACAAAACGTTCAACGTTCGCTCTTTGTTCCGTTTATTTTGCGTTCACCTTGCGTTCAGCATTCACTTATCATTCAGTCTTTATTGTCATTCGGAACTCAGAAGTGAAAGGACTTATCTTTTTGATGGTAAGGATTTACAGGTTTTTAATTTAATAACTAAGATATCGTGGTTAAAGGATAATTATTTCATGGCAAGAATTATCTCCGATATTTATATTTTTGTTTTTATGAATTAGTTGTTACATATATCATTAAACTTCTCTGTTAAACGCATGTTGTTATAAGCACTTTAAGTACCTACATGTATGCAGAATGATCCTAAAATTTTAGATTTAAATAAGGGCAATGTAGTACAAATAGTTCAAGCACGGCAGCATTTTGTTGTTATGTAAGAGACGACAAATCATTAATCGATGAATAATAATACAAGTCTATTAAATTACCAATTGGAGCACATATACTGAAAAAAAATTATTTGTATAACACGTATTTATAAATGATGCACAAAAACATATAAGAACTAGTTTAGAAACAGTACCGCAGATATTCAGTTAATTAAATATCTGTAGAGCGAATTAAATTAATTATAAATTGAATACTTACTTAGTATTTTAATTATATTTGAATTAACATTTAATGTGTATTGTAACACAAAAATTTCAGTCTTAAAAGGAACATCAAAACAATCATTAAACAACAGTAGTTCAAAATATACATGTGCTGACAGTGGTATTTTAAATTGGCAGGGAGTATCTTTCAAATTCAATTTCATACTTAATCCTTCCGAGTACTTTGAGTATATATTCCCAATATTTTTTATTAATTTTTTTCCTTTCAGTAATGTGGAAATCAGATCTGGAATTGATAGGAAAAATGTTAAAGCTTCTTGGAAACACTGTGTAATTCTTTGCCTTCGTTGTAACGAGATTGTCAAACCTGCACTGTATCGAATTATTTTGATTGACAGGAGAAGCACATGCCGGTCTCTTTGTGAACCGCGTGAACTTAAAGAAGGAAAATAAAAGCCAATGATGACTGCCTAATGGATTTTTTAATTTTCAAAAAAAAAAATGATTACTTTCACATCCTGGAATATTTAGAAAAATAAATAATCAGAATTTTTATTTGATACAACCGATATCTGAGAAAGGAGGGGGGGGGGGGGCTAAAATCTCTCTCTCTCTCTCTCTCACGCACACATATGTTCAATAAAAACTATGTCAGCATATTACTTTATTTAATTCTGAAAATATAATCTATTAAAAATAATATGAATCCCTTTTTTTATCATCTTGGAATGCCAAGTATTATAAATCATGGCCGGAAAATGTCTACAGATACATGTAGTAGTTTGCTTAAAAATCATCATAAAGAATGAAAATGACACATAAATAATGTAATATTATTGCATTAAAATTTTAAAATATGAGTATTTATACAATAAGTTAGAAGACCTTTGTACTTCTTTTTTTTTTCATTATTTTACACGGAATCGCATTTGTATGGTTGTTTCAAACGTGATAATTAATTCATTCTATAAGTTGTAGCTTTCTCTTCTAAAATCCTAATTATTTTATTAGTAAAAAGAGCATATTTATTTTATCAATAGATTGATTTTATTTGTTATACTACTCGCGCTCGGTAACAATTACCGTAATGGCAATATAAACAGTGTTATTGAAATGCTGTAAGATACTTAAATTAATAATTACTTAATATGCATGTATCTACTCTCTCAGGACAATTTTGAGCATATGTTTTATTTATTATTTTTTTATTTATTTATCAATTTATTGTTTATTTATATTTTAGCACCTGATAAAATAGAATAATTCCTATGTAAGGAAAACATCAGAGACATTCCGAACAAATCGTTCATTTTGCGTTCACCGTTCGTTCACAGTTCACTTTGCCCTCGTGTTTGCGCTCCATTCGCGTTCTGTGTTCACTCACCGTTCACACATCGTTCACCAAGTTGCGTTCACCATTCACACATTGTTCACTCACCGTTCGTTCACCGTTCCTTCAGTGTTCGTTCACCGTTCAGGTGGGAAAGTAGAACGTTTCAGGGACTGTAAAAACAATGTTGTAAATAAATGCCCATGCATATAAAAGTGAATTGATTCCCAGTCTCCCATCTTTCTCTCTTTCGATCGCTTTTATCCTTTCTCTCAATTGATCAAAGTGTCAAACAATGAAAATAATCACTGACTGATAAAACATGCTTAAAATCTTGCAAATATGCGATGAAAATTATAAAAAAGAAATACCAGCCTGTTTGAAGATCGTATGATTATACAAGGTTTCAGTCATGATGATGATAATAGTTACTGTGGAATCATTATTGTTCGTGAGGGACCAATGTTCGTGGCTTTCGTGGGTAACCCTGACCCACAAATTAACATCCCCATGAACATATATTCAAACATTTGTTTTATTATTTGTTAAAAGTTACGATTACACAGACTATTTTAAATCGTAAAATAACCGTTATACTTGTGTCCGTGTGATCGCACATAAAGAAGACAACCTGTATGTGGTTTTTGACACAAAACCAAAAAAAAATTAAGTATCAAAGACATCGATAACTATATACAGTAAGTAATAAAATGGTAAATACAACTGTTAAATTTAAGTAGTGTTTACATTATAGTCCAACACGTCAATTTTGGCATTGTCGTCGTCGTTCTCATTTAGAGATTTAAAAACATATTACGCGTACCACTGGTATTCTTTATAATTATAATTTACTGTGACATCACGGCTGTAATTTACTGGTGTAAGCCGCCGGTACATTTTTGTTTTCACAAGAGAGATAACTTAAATAAGCAACATTGACGGAGTTATTCTTCTTTGTTTTAACTTTGGAGAAAAAAAAACGTAATGGAACTTGTTACCAATGAAATTACGTCCCCACGAACCAGGAAATTTTTGGCTACTCACGAACATTGAACCCCACAAATAAAAATGATTCCACAGTAATTCTTAAAATTAAGCTGCAAAATGACATGACAGTTTGTTAACATTGTATAGCCTTGAACAGCGACTGGGCCTTTCTGACGTCATAGGCTGAGGGAGATAAGCAACGTAAGTCAAAGCTCATTTTCCCGACTGAGTAATTTTGATCAGAAGTGTTGTCGCTATCTTGCATTGAAAAGCTAAATAACATTTTCAGTCTCATTTTATCAGCTCAGATAAAGTTATTCCCATATGTAACTCAATAAGTTCAGGTATTTGTCTCTTATAACCTTTAAAGTGTTCACATTTTAAGTTATAATAGTGCTGCTTCTGTTTTGGCATTATAGCGATGGTGGCAATATAACGAGATTTGTTACAAATTACAATACAATGAGCCCAACTGAAGATGAATTTTTTCAAAGCATCTATGGGTGAAGGGGAACAAAAATTGTGAATTTCATGGTCCCTGCCAGGGTCAGGGGTTCTGGTGTTAGGGTGGGGCTCTATTGATTATATAGTGATATAGTAATTCTTTAAAAATCTTCTTCTCTCCTCCTGTGTATTAAACCAATGAGGCCATCCTTAAAAAAATGTTTGTTTGGAATTGCCGCCTGGGGGTTTTCAGACCCAGGAGGGAGGGAGGGATTTTATTTTTTTTTTTTTACAAATTGAAGCTAAATGAGAAAAAAAATAAAATCTCAATGAACAGTGGTAATTTCCATTTATTATCCTCTTGCTTTTATTTTTTAAATATTATTTGGTCCGATTTTGAAAAAAAAAATATACACAGAACGATACTCAAATATTAATCTCATTTAGATGTTAAGATCTGTTCATTTATTAATAGTTAAATTTCAACATCAAACTTCTAGTTTATTTTAAGAATCTTTATTAAACAATACTTTTATCAGTCTATTTCGTAGTATTTCTCTTTGAAATTTACCCCTTTGTTAAGACAACGCTTGCAAACAGTTTGAACCACACAAAATTTCTTCGGAATAGTTGGGATGTTTTGTGGGAAACCGGGAGGGGGTGCTTGGTACGTTCTCGAGTTTTCACCATGCATCAGTTTTAACATTACATTTCAAAGTCTTGTCATACTGACAGACAACATTTAGTATTTGGGATAAAACGTTTCTGATCCATGTAATTTTTAAAGTGGGAACTGAACAATCATTTTTTTTTTCAACATGACGGACTTAACTTATCAAGTTCAATGTGCAATCTATTACAATAGCTCTTTCCAGGTATCGATGTATCACTCCATTAAATTTTTCATTCACCTTTTATTTTTATAGAGATGCGTAAATGTTCTGCTCTTCAACACAAAGCTTGAATGTTTCCAACATGGTCTGACATTTTGGCGGCATTTATTTTGTCAAATCGCCACCTATAATCGCTATATATCATAAATACTATGAAGACAGTGTTTTATTGACCCGAGTTGTTAAATTAATGTGAGCTCAAACCCGACTTTAAAAAGCTATTTCGACGAACGAACTAACTTGTACTAAACAATGTAAGACGATAAAAACGATAAAAAAAAAAATTGTTAATATTTTGCCAATAAAATTTTTTGAGCGGGGGGTATTTTAATGAGGCGGGCGGCAATTCCAAACAAACTATAATTTTATTTTGGCCTGAACTATGTACATAGTTATGATGAGCAAGAATGTCTCTTCCAAAATTGTGAATTTCAGGGCCCCTGGTCAGGGGTTCTGGTGTTAGGGTGGGGCTCTGATGATTATATAGTGAAAATGCATGAATTTTTTGATAATCTTTTCCTTTGCTTCTGGGTAGTATGCCAATGATCTAAGTATACTGTAAATGTACTATATTAAGCATATGCAATATTTGGCGGAAATTTATTTTTGAATAAGTTGGCATATATTTGATATAGCCCATTTCTTTATTTTCTTTATTATGTGTATAAGTGCAAGACAATTAGCGTTGTACTTGATTTAGCGGTTGCTGGGTTCTGCGAAAGCCACTAAAAAGAATACACAACCAAATGTAATACGTTTACAGTATATATTTATGATGAAGAAAGATGCCTCTTCCAAAATGGTCAGTGGTTCCTGTGGGATTGGGTGCACAGCTGGTGGTTATAAAGTGGAAATGCATTTTCTCTTTGTTACTCTTATCTACCTCTGGGTATTAAATAACCAAAGTAAGCATGCTAAGTGTATAGTTATGATAAACAATGGTGCCTTTTTCAAAATTGTGAATTTCATGGCCTTTGGTTTAAAATACGAACCAAATTAAATTGTTGGAAACTTGTTACATGATACTCAGGTGACCTATAAGGCCCATAGGCCTCTTATTTTTTTAAATCACTAATTTATATTTTACAAGTATTTTGACTAAAATAAAATGAAAATGTCAGAATATTAAAACACTTAGCAATTCCCTGCTCTTTCACTCTTTTGTATATTGATCCAAGGATTTAACAACCCGATGATTATGCAGTGTTTATATAGCAGTTGTAGATTCTAGGTATAAATATATTCTTGAGGTTTCTCATCAATTTCATCTGAATCAGATGTGGATTATTTCACTATCTTGAGAATTCCTTAATATCAAGATTCTGTTGAATTTCTTTCTTCAAAATTGCTTTGATCTAGCTACCATGCTGTTTTGTGTTCAAAGAGGATTTGGAGGTCAAGAATTTTTCATTTGGACTTTTGAAACATTTTCTGCTTGAGTTTTCCCTGCTTGCTACTGGGGCAGAAGATTGGGTGGTTTTCTGCATTTGCTGTTACCTGTTACATTAAAACAAACAACTGTTACATTCCAATATCAATACAACTTAATGTTATTTTAAAGGAAGGAGCTGGTAGATAATGCAGAACTTTCTGTCACAGAGGATCTAAAGTTTGGAGCTCTTATTCTGAAGAAGCATCCAAAGAGCCCAGAAACATTTTCTCACAGGTAAACTCAAATTTGAAGCTGTTTTTAGCTCAACTGAGCTGAAAGCTCAAGTGAGCTTTTCTGATCACATTTTGTCCGTCGTCCGTCTGTCTGTCTGTCTGTCCGTCTGTAAACTTTTCACATTTTTGACTTCTTCTCAAGAACAGCTGGGCCAATTTCAACCAAACTTGTCACAAAACATCCTTGGGTGAAGGGGATTCAAGTTTGTTCAAATGAAGGGCCACGCCCTCATTCAAGGGGAGATAATTGGGAATTAATGAAAATTTGGTGGTATGTTTTAAAAATCTTCTTCTCAAGAACCACTGTGCCAGGAAAGATGAAACTTATATGGAAACATCCTCAGGTAGTGTAGATTCAAGTTTGTTCAAATCATGACCCCCGGGGGTAGGGCGGGGCCAAAATGGCCGACCAAAGTTTTACATAGAAATATATAGTAAAATTCTTTAAAAATCTTCTTCTCAAGAATAGCAAAGCCATAATTGATGATATTTATATGGAAGCATCCTCAGGTAGCGTAGATTCAAGTTTGTTCAAATCATGACCCCCGAGGGTAGGGCGGGGCCACAATGGCCGACCAAAGTTTTACATAGAAATATATAATAAAATTCTTTAAAAATCATCTTCTCAAGAATGACAAAGCCATAATTGATCATATTTATATGGAAGCATCCTCAGGTAGCGTAGATTCAAGTTTGTTCAAATCATGACCCCCGGGGGTAGGGCGGGGCCACAATGGCCGACCAAAGTTTTACATAGAAATATATAGTAAAATTCTTTTAAAATCTTCTTCTCAAGAATAACAAAGCCATAATTGATGATATTTATATGGAAGCATCCTCAGGTAGTGTAGATTCAAGTTTATTCAAATTATCACCCCCAAGATAGGACAGGGCCAAAATGCCAACCAAAGTTTTACATAGAAATATATAGTAGGATTCTTTAAAAATCTTCTTCTCAAGAATAGCAAAGCCATAATTGTTCATATTTATATGGAAGCATCCTCAGGTAGTGTAGACTCAAGTTTGTTCAAATCATGACCCCCAGGGGTAGGGCGGGGCCACAATGGCCGACCAAAGTTTTACATAGAACTATAATATAGTAAAATTCTTTAAAAATCTTCTTCTCAAGAATAACAAAGACATAATTGGTCATTGGACTACTTTTGGATTTAAACTTTTCAATAATAAACCAATTCTACTTTTTCTTAGCCACAGTGCTCAGGTGAGCGATGTGGCCCATGGGCCTCTTGTTTGTGAACTGTTTTCAACATAATGGGGTATTGATCAGGATGCAAAAATAATCAGGGCGTGAATATATGATTGTATAGTCACCACTGGAGCTGCAAGGTATACTCTTAATGAAACTGCTAACGCAGAAGTTTTTATTCCAAATTGTAAATCGAACGTTTTCCCCTTTTGTACTAGTTTATCTAATATGTCATCTTTTCCAATGCAGTGGGATTGACAAATGTCTTGGTATCATGACAAGACCTTAAATGACCTTGCTCAAAAACCACATTTTGATGTGGACTGTGCACCTTTATTGCCCAGATAATGAAGCTGGTGATTACCAGTAGTGGTCCTTGAGGTTTCAGTAGAAGCACTCTTCCTGTTTTACAGTGATTAACTATTGCCTGGAAGTCATCCAGTGTCTTGGGGTCCATACCCAGTCCACCAAATCTACAACTGAACCAATTTTGTGGAACAATCTTTAAATTTTTGTCGGGCACTGGTGCTTATTTAATGCCATGTCTATGTAAAGGAAATATTTAATCTTTTTTGTCCCTAAGGAATGCATAATCTTTTTATTGTTTTAATTTTCCGTTGATGGTTAAATTAATTATATTTTTCCAACTAGTTAACATATTAATCTATTTTATGTCACTTAACAACCATTCAGGCATGTTTAAAATTTTTGTGATATAATCAGCATAATTTTTTGTTTTCCTTTTCACAGAAAGTGGTTACTTCATAGATTTGTAGACAACTATTTGGCCTCAAGCGTAGGTAGTAATGCTAGCACAGGAAGCAATGCTTGTGATAAATTTGTAAATATGGATGCCATTGATGTAAATATGGATGCTTCACTCAATGGACTATGTGAAGAGAATGGCCCTGAACTCATTAATCAACCTGATTACAGTGAACAAATTAGAAGAGAACTGAGTATATGTAAAATTGCTGCAGATAACCATCCATGTAATTACAATGCTTGGAGTCATGCAATCTGGGTGTTGCAGCATTGTTTAAATTGTTCTTTACAGGTAAGAAAAGTTGCTTTTGCAAATTAAAAAAAATGTGTTAAATCTTGGTTGCTAGTGGAATGGATATGTATTATCTGCCCAAGTTATTTTGCAATCTAATGTTTGGAATGACATAATGTACCCTGAAACAGAAAATATTGTCTTAATCAATGTGAAGATGGTGGGGTTTAAACATGTCGAGGCTGAAAGGTCAAAACTGTTGGTACCCAAAGGTCTTCTCACAAGGAACACACCTCTGAAATACAAAAGCCCTAGTGTGAACGGTTCAAAAGTTATGGTCAAGGTGAAAGTTTTTTAAGTGGGTCAAACTCTAAGGTCAAGGTCAAAAGGTCAAATTGTTGGTATCCAAAGGAAGGTCTTATCACAAGAAATACACTGGTTAAATTTGAGAGCCCTAGTTCCTAATGTTCAAAAGTTATGGCCAAGGTTTAAGTTTTTTCCAAGTAACAGTTCAAAAGTTATTGTCAAGGTGAAAGTTTTATAAGTGGGTCAAACTCTAAGGTCAAGGTCAAAAGGTCAAATTGTTGGTATCCAAAGGAAGTTCTTATCACAAGAAATACACTGGTTAAATTTGTGAGCCCTAGTTCCTAATGGTCAAAAGTTATGGCCAAGGTTTAAGTTTTTACCAAGTGTGTCAAACATAATGGTCAAGATTAAAGTTTTTTTTAAAGTAGGCCAAACCATAAGGTGAAGGTCAAAAGGTCAAATATTTTTAAACCCAATGAAAGGTTTTGTCACAATGAATATACATGTCAAGTATGATTGAAAGCCCTAGCACCAACTATTCAGAAGTTATGGCTATTGTTAATGTTCAGAAATTTTTGATAAAAGTGGGTCAAACTCCAAGGTCAAATTTGGTGGTACCAAAAGAAAGGTCTTGTCACAAGGAATACACCTGTGAATATTAGTCGTAGCCCTATCCACTCAAAAGTTATAGGCTAGTTTAAAAGGTTAAAGTTGAAAACAGACAGACAGGACAAAAACAATATACCCCAGTATTTTCCAATCTGGGGGCATAAAAATTCTGACATGAAGCCAAAAGTAGGAAGGGGAAGGAAGCTATAAGAAAAAAAAATTGCAAAGAACAAGGTATGGTTTCAATACAAATTTGACCCTGTATTTTTCTAAAATTTAGAAGTAACTTAACTGTATAAATTAAAATTATCCTTTCTGAATCATTGAAATTCTATGCAGTAAAAACATACAAATCCTTTTTCAACTGTGACCTCTTAAGTGATAATTATGACGTTAACTTGTGCATTTTCTGGTATTTTCCTTTAAAGATGCAGAAAATATCCATTTTCATCGTAATTTTCTTTTAGAAATCATACAGTGCATGCATTGCCCATTAAGGTTTTGACATGTGTGGTTTTTCATAGCATTTTTTCACACTTTTTCCAAAAATTGAAGTTGGTGACAGCTACAGACACTATTTTCTAAAGGAAAATAAGCACAGAAATGAGTCATTTTGAGTTTGTTTTTTTTTTGCATGAAACTTTGAAATGTACTAAATTAATGATATCTTATTTCCAGAATTGTCCTCCTTCAAACATTTTTTTTAGCCATTTATCATAGCAAAATTCTCTGTTATCCTCAGACTTCATGTAAGGCATGGCATTCTTGACATTACATTATAAGCCTCTGAAATTAACACAGCCTTTCATTCACTGTTGAAATATACATGGGATAAATAGAACAAGTCTCAATAAGGCATTATCTGTGGTCCCTGGTTACTCGTCAAATTTTAAACTTTAATTAAAAAACATATAAAGTAAATTATATTACGAGAGGTGATCAAAAAGTTCGCGAACTAATTAAATAACTTCCATAAATGACACAATATTTGGTTTCAGTGTTGATTATAGTTTAAATCAGTCCTCTCCAATATTAATGCACACATGTCATCGTTCTGCTCATGCACGAATCACGTGATATAGCCGGTCACGTGACCTCCTCCGTTGCGTTCTGTCACAAAAGCTAAGAGATTTTTCCGAGTTTTATATTTCTTTCCATGTAAGTTAATTTTTATAACAAGAACAGTTAATTTGTCAGAAATGATCAATTCTCTGCAACAGAATGGGTGGATAAGAATATCCTTTCCAAAAATAAGCATGGCAACCATCAAAACTCAAATTTCTGCCTCGGGAGAGACGTTTATTCAAGGCGGATAGAGAATGGGTGCCTCTTTTTTATCAGATCTAATATGTTTAAAATCTGAAGTAAATGATATCATAGGTATTTAATAATTATATTATTGTTGAAATATTCAGCTATTTTTCAAAGTGTAAATTGGAGGTCTTTGATAGCTAATTGCTTTATTAAAAACGCATCTCTTTTCAAACTTGCTTCCACTGGGCAAAATAACAAGTATCATTTTTAACCATCTGCCTTCCTTCACTAAAACGATTAATCCAATCATTGATGGAATTTATAAGAAGTCAGTTGTCTTATTAAACTATGTACAAATTATTATAGTCTACTTCAAAGTGATTTCTAAGATATACCATAAATTTTACAGTCGCTTCTTGAACGAGTATGACAGAAAAAACCATTTTTCGTCACAAGTGACCTACATAGTGAGGTCATTTTTATATTGTGACGTCACAAACAAGGAGTAAAGCATTATTCAGCATATGCTATTTATAGAACTTGTGTATGGCTACATGTATACCGATTTTTTTTCTAATCTGAATTGTGGTTTTGTAGATATAGAGATAGTTCGCGAACTTTTTGATCACCCCTCGTATTCTCTTATGTCTGTAGTATTTGCGCCAATGTTTAAAAATATCAAATACTTGCAATAGACAACATGCGAAGCTGTGTTTTGAAGATGGGGTCCTTTGATTTTCATGAATATCAAAAGAAATTTGTGACAGGTACCCACTTTACAGCTTTCCTAAACATCAAGTGCAGGTTTGTTCAAAGTCGAGATTAAAATATAATGTGTATATTATATTTTTACAGATTGTGTGAAAATATCTTTGTTGAACACCCTTGCGCTATATGTTTTCTACTTAAAAGTATCGTGATTTTGAATCTGTTCGATGAGTACATTTACATAGGATGAACCTCTTGTTGACCTGCTAAGAATAGATCTCTCTAATATGTCACGTGATTCCATACCGTCACAGGTGAATACATTGAATTCATTAAAAGAATTTATTTCTTAAATTTGACAAATCTGTAGGCCCTTTCATTTACTAGATCTTGACCTTAGTTATCTCATCAGTTTGAAAAACAACTTAAAGTTGCTGATGTTAGTGATTTCTTAACCAATGAGAATTTGAGAGATGTTTATTATGTAGCTTTGAGAATGCCACACCTCACTGAAAGTCCAAGGATGACAGAGAATTGTACTATTCATCTACTCAATTTCATAACTTTTTAAGAACATTAATTTTTTAGGGCACAATAATGCCCAAACTGTCCATTCTTCAGAGAATTGTTATCTCCCATTTTTGGGGTCTAAGACCAAGAGAAAACTTTCTTAAAACCACATCAAACTTCAAAGTTATGAGGCCAAATATCATAAAGCATATGAAAGTTTATTGTTACAGTTAATGCACATATGAAAAAAAATTCTGGTGCACAAAAGTAGGTAAAATGTTTATATCAACGAAATGAGCTGGTTATGTCAAATATTGGACTCGTAGAATTCATCCCATTAATACATGTACAAAAGATGACAGATCATAAACATGTTTTAATTTGGAAGAGATTTTGGACAGATAGCTGGATTCTCTCAGTGAGAATGATATGACTGGATTGTTTTCCTTTACAGGTTGTCTGTGGTGAGCTTCATTCAACAGAAGATTGGATAAAGAAACATGTCTCAGATCACAGTGGATTACATTACAGACAATTCTTACTGAAGTGTTTATCCCAACAGGCAGAGAAACTATCTGAACAATACTTACTGAATTACAGGAACACTATTCAAAAGGAAATGCACCTGATCTCAGATCTAATTAAATGTTATCCAGGTCATGAAGCACTTTGGTACCATAGGTAATGTAGAATTAAGTTCAGTAGCTCTTTTCACAAAAATCAGTTTTTGCATTAGATTTTAACTTAAGAATCTCTTACAACATCACAAATTTTAAGTGCTTTTCATGAATGCATGCATAGAATATTGAACTTTTTAAAAGATTTTACTTGCAACAAACTATGTCCCTAGCAACGATCTCAATATGCTTATTAATCCTTTAAAAATTGGATGAAAATAAGGGTGACGCTTGGTTTTCAACTTGTCAGCCCATTTATTGACAAAAAATATCGAATGCAACTGATGGTGAAAAAAAGAGTTTGAAATCTGACGTTACAATCACAAGTCTGACATAAAAGTAGGTCATTTGAAAATCTTATGAAAAGGGCTACTGAATTTTATGCCAGTACTGTTAGTCATTGTAAACCAACTTCTTGGATGTAAAGTGGGGAACTGCATGAAATTTACTGAATGAAGATATTCAAATCAGTAATTGACTACCCCACCCCCTTTAAATATTAATGCTCTGTTCACACGGAGAATTTAATTCACAGTAAATTAATGCGAAGTAAACTAATGTGAATCAAACTAATGCGAATGAAATTGCATTCACACTACAGCTAATGCAAAGTAAACTAATGTGAATTAAAATTTTACTTCTGCAGCCCGGCGTCAGCACGTTTATTATGACGTCATTTGCAAATCACGTCACCTTATGCAGAAGCAGATCCCTTTGACATAATGGCAAAGTGTCTGTATAATGTTACATATTTATAACCCCCGCAAACGAAGTTTGGGGGGGTATATAGCAATCACCTTGTCTGTCTGTCCGTCTGTCCATTTGTCCATCCGTCCGTCCAGCTGTCTGTCCATCTGTCTGTGCAAACGTGTCCGGTCCATATCTTTCTTACGGAGGAACATTAGAATCTACTACTCTACACAAAGATTGCACATGACCTAAGGGTGTGTCATGACCTTGACCCAAGGTCATTTGAGGAAGTTCAAGGTCACTGGAAGAAAAATTTCATAATTCGTGTCCGGTCCATATCTTTCTTATGGATAAACTTGGTAGGTTCTAATTTCACATAAAGATTGCACATGACCTAAGGGTGTGTCATGACCTTAACCCAAGGTCATTTGGGGAAGTTCAAGGTCACTGGAAGAAAAATTTCATAAATCGTGTCCGTTCCATATCTTTCTTATTGATAAACTTGGTAGGTTCTCATTTCACACAAAGATTGCTTATAACCTAAGGGTGTGTCATGATTTTGACCCAAGGTCATTTGATAAGTTCAAGGTCACTGGAAGAAAAATTTCATAATTTGTGTCCAGTCCATATCTCTCTTATGGATAAACTTGGTAGGTTCTCATTTTACACAAAGATTGCACATGACCTAAGGGTGTGTCATGACCTTGAACAAAGGACATTTGGAGAAGTTCAAGGTCACTGGAAGAAAAATTTCATAATTTGTATGCGGTCCATATCTTTCTTATGGATAAACTTGGTAGGTTCTAATTTCATACAAAGATCGCTTATAACCTAAGGGTGTGTCATGACCTTGAACCAAGGTCATTTGGGGAAGTTCAAGGTCACTGGAAGAAAAATTTCATAAATCGTGTCCGTTCCGTATCTTTCTTATGGATAAACTTGGTAGGTTCTAATTTCACTCAAAGATTGCTTATAACCTAAGGGTGTGTCATGATTTTGACCCAAGGTCATTTGATAAGTTCAAGGTCACTGGAAGAAAAATTTCATAATTTGTGTCCAGTCCATATCTTTCTTATGGATAAACATGGTAGGTTCTCATTTCACACAAAGATTGTACATGACCTAAGAGTGTGTCATGACCTTGAACCAAGGTCATTTGGGGAAGTTCAAGGTCACTGGAAGAAAAATTTTATATTTTGTGTCTGGTCCATATCTTGCTTTATTATGGAAAAACTTGTATCTACTACTTCACGCAAACATTGCTTATGACCTGAGTTTGTGTCATGACATTGAACCAAGGTCATTTATGCAAGTTCAAGGTCACTGACAGAAAAAGTTCATAATTCGTGTCTGGTCCATATATTTAGTCTATTTTTATGGCGTTGAGCTTTAGTTTGTCGCTCATCTAGCAATGAGGAAATCTCTGACTGTTCACCACTTTCTTCATGCTCCAAATAATATAGTACTCGAACCAAGACCTTCATGTATCTGGCGTAGGGATATACATGCCAATTTTTGCGTTTATTCCATAAATTGCTTGAAAATCATACAATTTCAACAGTCCTATACATAGTTGCCAACTCACCCACTTTCATCGGGTTACTTTTCGACCCTTAACCTGATTATTTTTTATGACACAGCGGGTCATGCTTATCGCCCGAATCCCGGATTTCCGGATTTGGTTTGTAAATAAGGTTGTACTTTTAACTTCCAGTTACAACCCAAGCTTGATCTACGTAAACAATGCCAATGGCTATGTGCAGTAGGCCAGTAAATTATCAGTGCAGATGTAAACAATTAACTGGGATTGTTTTGACAAATCAAAATTTTAAAATGGCTTCAGATAGAACAAGATTTTTATGAGGACCAGCAGGAACAAATTGAACAAAGAGAAAGAGATAAAAATATTTATGTACATGTCAAGGAGTCTTGGAAAACAACTTTTATTACATATAATAAAGTGATCGAAGACAGTGTAACTCTTACTGTACATTTAGAACACATTGCACTAGTTAATTAAATTAATTAGGCCTAAGAGAGAGGAAAAGTAATTTAAATCCCCAAAAATTGGAATTACTTTCAAATTTAGCACCAGGGACCTATTTACTAACACCTGCACAAGTCACAATATAAAAGCAGGGGTTAGAGTCAGAGGAATCTCGGATTAATGAGTTGAATGCTTTTATTTCATAAATGCTTAAATCAGGGTATTTTATCTAGATATACAACTAAGCTACTGTTAATCACTTTTTATTCGCGAGGACTTTATTTTCGCGTAATTACATGAGAGTGTGCTCGCGAAAATTTAATTCTCGCTTATAATAGTATTCCTTTAAGATTATATAGAGCAATAACCACAATACGTGAAAGTTTTGTCTCGCTAATCAAGAGTCAATGACTATCTCGTGAAAATAAGGTGTCGCGAAAATTAAGTGATCTACAGTATATAATCTGTAGACATATGCATACTTTTAAACATGCTTTGAAATCCAATAATTTTACAGTATCACTACCATATCTAAAGCGCGGTGCTATTGTGACCCTTCAGGCCTTTGATTTTTATTAGGCTGCGCCTTCGTTTCATTTATAAAAAATATAATGAGCAATTATATTTGCACTAAAAATGTTTTAGCATTTCTCTCTTCTCTTAGATCCATAAAATATTCATGATTTAGCACTTCTGAAAAACCCAGCGGGGGGTATTTTGTCCCATTTGGACAGTTCTAGTTTAATGATTCACAAAATTTTCCAGAGTTTTTACTCAAAAATAGCACAAGTACCTATAGCTGACCACCGACAAGTGGCATTTGACTTAATTTTGCCATTACGCATACGTCAGAATTTAATTCGAAGTAGCTTCGCTTAGAGTTCATACAGAGCTAATACGGGGTAATTTAATGCGCAGTAAACTAATTCGCATTAAATTCTCCGTGTGAACGCTAAGCCAAGCTAATTCGCAGTAACTTTACGTTTAATTCGAATTAAACTCTCCGTGTGAACAGGGCATAAGGATATGCTTTTTGGTCAATGTGCCTGTGATTAAGATTTCTGTTGTAAATATGCTCATATGGTGTGGCTCATTGATAAAGTTATACTATGAATTTCAATATAATGTGAAGGTCAGGGATAGATTGTAGGTGAAAGTCATTCATAGATATCCAGATTAGACTTTGCCACTATGGGATTTTATTTTACCAGTAGTCTAAGAAAATTTTATTTAATAAATAGCTATGTCTTTAAAATTCTGAAAAAGAGTTAAACTTTATTTGATCAAGTCTGCTGCAAATCAAGAGAAAGAAGTTGAATTTTTATTGTGCTGTAAATACTTAAGAAAACTTTTAACATACATACAATGATTGTTTCTTTTAGCCTCATACCTTAACTTCGAACTGAGGAAAAGAAAGTTGTGGCCAATTACTAAAAAAATGTAAAACTACTTTGTTTTGACCAAGTACCTGTTTAAACTCTGCTTCTTTATCTTTCAGGAGGTATGTATTTCAAGCTTTATGTGAGTCATGTGACAAAGGTTTTAAGGAACCCAATCAACTCAGTGACCAGTTACTGGAAAATCAACAAAAGAAAACCAAATTTGAAAATGAGAGACAAGTCTTGCTGATAAATGAAGTGGATACAGTGTCGACCACTGACCTCCTAGGTCGAGACAAATACAACCAACAGTTAGCTCAGAAATACCTGGACTGGATTCAGACCTACTGCAGGAGATGAATATTTACTTATTTTAATAATTCACTTTTTATCTAATTTATTTGATTATTCATTTAATTTTGTTATCTTTAAAATAATGAAGAACAGTGATGTAAACCTATGATATATCACAGCATTTTGTCATTTGTTTACCTCTTGTAGTCCCTCAGTTAATGTTCAAAATGCCACTCCTTCCTCGTGTAAGACCAAATTCATGCAGTCAGATTTTGTTTACAAGTAAAGAATACCAAGATATATACAATCAGTTGATGGAATTTAAAATTCAACAATCTTGTTGCCATAGTTTCTGATATTTGAAATATATGTAAAGACTTTTTGAAAAATGCTACTCCTCCTGAAAGTTTGTCAAATTTCTAAGGAGCTGTACTTACTTGTTTTAATTGAGCTGTGGGACATAGAGGTCATTGTTTCAGATGTAACTGTACTAACTGAGTCCCTGCACTTATAAAATTTTGAAAATTTTCAGCTTATATACAACTGTTGAACTAATTTTACTTTATAAAGGAACATACCTCTTGAATTTTTTGTCTTCAAAAGTCTTTTTTATCCCATGACATAAACCAAACTTCTTTTGTTGCAATGAAAAAAGAGTGTTTAAAACTGTGAAATCATGTTCAATTGGTCAAAGATTATGGTGTTAGGGTAGACCGCAGGGTTCTATTGATCATGTAGGGAGATTTTTACTATGTTGTCTAGATTGGCAATAATGACAAGTGGGTGTGTGGTTAGCAATGACATATGAAGGCAATTAAAGAAATTTACTAAAATCAAAGTAATTATAGAAAACGAGAAAAAACTATTGTGAGGATTGTGATTGAATCATATTCTATTGATAGCAAAAGTCATTTGATTCCTTGTTAATTAGGGCTCCGCAAGGATTTGCGGGTGCCTATAGTAATTACTCTGTCTGTCTGTCCGTCTGTCATTCTTCCGACCACAAATTTTCTGTTTTTTCTTAATAATTTCTTTTATGGTTGCCCAATTAAGATCAAATTTGGTATGGTAGTTCAAAAGGCAGAAAGACATATTTTGATGCTAATTCTGTTTCTCTATGTCCCCTGGTTTGGAGCTGGGGTGATGGAGAAGATTCCTTAACTTTATATAAGAATGCATTGGCAAAGAGAGATAACTGCTGAAAATTTTCCCATTGTAAACTGAATGCTGCTTTGAGTCCCTTGGGATTAATTAGCTTTCCTCCTGAAGAAAATCCAAAGCATTATCTTTATCTGTCACATTGGGATTAATTACCACCTCTGTCTGCAAATGAAGTTTGTTTTGAAGTTAAGTTAATTTGAAATGCTATGAGCACTCAGCTGTAATGTGGATATAAATGTTTATACCGTATAATCCCTATTAACCGCCCCGGGCACTTAGAAAATTGGGAAAGGGGGCGGTTATTTTGGTATTCTCTTCCTAAAATTTAATGTCATATTTTAATTTCAAAAAATCTTTTGAAAAATAAATAAATTCAAAGAAACACTGAAATATGTCTAACTTTATTTTAAGTGAAGATAATCCATCCATATTATGCTAAATGATTCATTTTCCACCAAGAAATTAGATTATAGAAAGTTTCATATTCACTTTCTTCAAATCTTGGCAGACTTTTGATACGATTCTCGATGATTTTAATCTCTGTACAATGGTCCCTTATTTCCTAACAATTAAAAAAGACCTAGAGGGGCACTTATAGGGGTAGGGGCAGTTAATAGGGATTATACGGTACTTTATTTTTGTTAAAATACCCTACGCAATGAGTTATGATTTCATGGAATTCTAAAAACAAGAAATAGATTAAAGAAGATATATTTTTTTTATTTTTACTTTTTTTTCTTTATGTAAATTCAAGAATATTATTAATTTTTAAGGTAGTTGGATAAAAACCCCATTCTATCATTAATACTGAAAAAGTTCTTATTGTAACTTTAGAGGAAATGATGAGAGAAGTACAGTTAATCTCTAGGGATTAATTATCTAGCATGCTGTAGAAAATTTAGCAGGCTTTTCTTTATCTGTCACTTTGAGATTAATGAAAACCTTTGTCTGCAACAGCTGTTTGTTTTGAAGTTAAGGTCAAGCCTTCATGATATTTGCATTCATCAAAGGCTGGCATTTTATATAACACAAGCTTCATTATTGTTTAAATATACATTCAATGTTAAGTTGTTTTAAATACAAGGATATTATTTACAGGTTTTTGGATATTCAGGAATTATCTTGAAATTTTAAGAATACAGTTGCTGTTACTTATTCTTCACATGTATTTTCAGCTCTTCTGAGCCAAAGGCTCAAAGAGCTAATGCTATGGCCATTTGTGCGGTGTGCGTTAACTTTTTAAAATATTGGCCATAACTCAAGAACCCCTTGGCCAATTATTGTCAAATTTGTCACAGGGTATCCTTGGCCCAAGGGCTACCATTTTTATTAAAACTAGGGGTGGGACCCTAAAACAAGGGGAGATAATCACGAAAATAAAACCAAAAGTACTGGTTGCTAAAAAATCTCCTCCAGAACCACCAGGCAGATTTTCACCAAACTTACATACAAGGGTCGAGATATGTTGAAGATTAAAAATTGTTCAAGGCATGACCCTGGGGCAAAGGGCGTGGTCTCAAGGTCACTTCAAAGTTGACCAAAATTTACACTTATTAAAAATGTTGATATTTTGCTTACTATAAAGACTAGGATCATCAAATCTTGTAAGTTGATGCATCTCAGGACTTGACATCATGTTAATGCAAAAGTAGGTCACAGTGACCTATTTTTTAGCTCACCTGAGCCTAAGGCTCAAGTGAGCTTTTCTGATCACATTTTGTCCGTTGTCCGTCCGTCCATCTATAAATTTTTCACATTTTTGACCTCTTCTCAAGAACCATTGAGCCAATTTTGACCAAACTTGGTACAAAACATCCTTGGGTGAAGGGGAATTTAAATTGTTAAAATGAAGGGCCCAGTCCCCTCACGAGGGGAGATAATCAAGAAAAGACAAAAGTAGGGTTGGGTCATTAAAAAATCTTCTTCTCAAGAACCACTGGGCCAGTAAAGCTGAAACTTATGTGTAAGCATCCTGGGATAGTGTAGATTCTAAATTGTTCAAATCATGACCCCCGGGGGTTGGGCGGGGCCACAAGGGGGAATCAAAGTTTTACATAGAAATATATAGGGAAAATCTTTAAAAATCTTCTTCTCAAGAACCACTGGGCCAGAAAACCTGAAACTTATGTGGAAGCATCATGAGGTAATGTAGATTCTAAATTGTTCAAATCATGACCCCCAGGGGTTGGGCGGGGCCACAATGGGGTATCAAAGTTTTACATAGAAATATATAGGAAAAATCTTTTAAAATCTTCTTCTCAAGAACCACAGGGCCAGAAAAGCTGAAACTTATGTGGAAGCATCATGAGGTAATGTAGATTCTAAATTGTTCAAATCATGACCCCCGGGGATTGGGCAGGGCCACAATGGGGAATCAAAGTTTTACATGGAAATATATAGGAAAAATCTTTAAAAATATTCTTCTCAAGAACCACTGGGCCAGAAAACCTGAAACTTATGTGCAAGCATCCTGGGATAGTGTAGATTCTAAATCATGACCCCCGGGGGTTGGGCGGGGCCACAATGGGGAATCAAAGTTTTACATAGAAATATATAGGAAAAATCTTTTTAAATCTTCTTCTCAAGAACCACTGGGCCAGAAAAGCTGAAACTTATATGTGGAAGCATCCTGAGGTAGTGTAGATTCTAAATTGTTCAAATCACGACCCCCGGGGGTTGGGCGGGGCCACAATGGGGAATCAAAGTTTTACATAGAAATGTATAAGAAAAATCTTTAAAAATCTTCTTTTCACAAATTACTGGGCCAGAAAAGCTGAATCTTATGTGGTAGCATCCTGGGGTAGTGTAGATTTCAAGTTGTCTAAATTCTGATCAGTGGGGTAGGGTGGGGTCACAATATGTAGTACAAGAGGGAAATCTGGTAAAGAACAGAATGGTCAAAGCTTCTCAGGTGAGTGATGTGGCCCATGGGCCTCTTGTTAAATTTTACGGGCTTTTGTTTTCAGATTGATTTGGAGGCATATTTTGGACACTTTAAGGCCTATGATCATAAAACTTTGTCAATTGGTGCATCTTTGGTCCACAAACAACATCAACTTAAAAGTAGGTCATCATGACCTACTTTTGGAATTTTATGGCTAATCTTTTCTAAGACATTTAATCCCATTATTTCAGACACCGAGAGGTTTAGAATCACCAAATCTTGTAAGTTGTTGCATCTTGGGGCCTTAAAACATATTTATCAAAAAGTAGGTCACTGTGACCTACTTTTTGAACTTTCCAGGCATTTGTTTTCAAATCCTTTAAAATGCATATTTTGAATACTACTAGACCTATGATTATCAAATTTTGTCAGTTGATGTATCTTTGGTCTTCAGAAAATGTTGACCAAAAAGCAGGTCACTGTGACCTACTTTCGACATTTTATGGCTAGATTTAAGTATCTCGGGTACTAATTGGCTTAGAATCATCAAAATTTGTCAGTTGATGCATCTTGGGTTTTCGGAGATAAATGACCAAAAAGTAGGTCATGGTGACCTACTTTTGACATTTTATGTCTACATTTAAGTATCTCAGGTACTTGTTGGCTTAGAATCATCAAACTTTGTCAGTAGATGCATCTTGGGTTTTCGGAGAATGTCGACCAAAAAGTAGGTCACGGTGACAATTCTAAGCCAATAAGTACCCTAGAATACTTAAATATAGCCATAAATGTCACAAGTAGGTCACCATGACCTATTTTTTGATCATCATTCTCCGAGAACCCAAGATGCATCAAATAACAAAGTTTGATGATTCTAAACCAAATAAGTACCTGAAATACCTATTTATAGCCATAAAATGTCAAAAGTAGGTCACTGTGACCTACTCTTTGGTCAACATTCTCTGAAAAAGTAGGTCACGGTGACCTACTTTTGACATTTTATGGCTAGTTTTATGTTTCTCAGGTACTATTTGTTGTAGAATCATCAAACTTTGTCATTTGATGCATCTTAGGTTTTCCCAGCATATTCACCAAAAAGTAGGTCACGGTGACCTACTCTTGAATATCTCAGGTACTGATTGGCTTAGAATCATCAAACTTTGTTAGTAGATGCATCTTGGGTTTTCTGAGAATGTCGACCAAAGAGTAGGTCACGGTGACCTACTTTTGACATTTTATTGCTATATTTAGGTATTTCAGGTACTTACATGTATTTGGTTTAGAATCATCAAACTTTGTTATTTGATGCATCTTGGGTTCTCGGAGAATGATGATCAAAAAACAGGTCATGGTGACCTACTTGTGACATTTATGGCTATATTTAAGTATTTTAGGGTACTTATTGGCTTAGAATTGTCAAACCTTGTCAGTTGATGCACCTTGGGTTTTCGGAGAATGTTGACCAATAAGTAGGTCACTGTGACCTACTTTTGAATATCTTAAGTACTTATTGGCTTAGAATCATCAATCTTTGTCAATTA